TCACTGTCTATTTTGGCAAACACTGGGCTCAATAAAACTCCATCAGGTTTCTTTCCTATAGAACTTTTTAGAACCTTTACTGTCTAACATGCATGATCAATCTGTAACCGCCCAACAGGTTCTTCTTGCCCACTGCCTAGATAGAGGTGACTTATCAAGACAGGGAAACGAACTGTAATAGAGAAAGAATTTAATACACATAGAAGCAGCTAAATGGGAGTCAAAAGTTTCATTATTACTCTAATCAGCCTCCCTGAAATTTCAGAGGCTAGGGTTATTTATTTAGTTTGCTGAGCAGGGGGGTATGGAATGAGAAATGCTAATTGGTTGGGTAGGGGATAAAATAGGGAGTCTAAGCTGTCCTCTTGAGTCAGTTCCTGGATGGGGGACCACAAGACCAGATGAGCTAGCTTACCAGTCTGGTGGCACCAGCAAATCCATCAGCATGCAGGATCTGAAAAATATCTCAAATACCAAGCTTAGGTTTTACAGTAGTAATGTTATCCACAGGAGCAATTAGGGAGGTTAGGAACCTTGTGGCCTCTGGCCGCATGACTCCTGAGCCATAATTTCTCATCTTGTGGCTGATCTGTTAGTTTTCCAAAGGCAGTCTGAACCCCAAGCAAGGAGGGGTTTGTTTTGGAGAGGGGGGTTATCATCTTTGTTTCAGAGGGAAACTATAAACTAAATTCCTCCCAAAGTTAGTTCAGCCTATGTCCAGGAATGAACAAGGGCAGTTTGGAGGTTAAAGGCAAGATAGAATTGTTTAGCTCACATCTCTTTGACTGTCATGTTTTCTTACTGGTATAACTTCTGCATCAAATCTCCAACTTAGCATTCATTTCACAAACAACAAATCACAGAATTCATTTTTGTGCTGAGAATCCCCAAAACCTATTCTTCAGAAAACACTTAGAAAATCCAGCTCTAATACTTTATTTAAAATTGTGAATGTTTAAAAAAAGTTTATCCTTGTTCCCGTTAATTATCCAGGTTTGCTTTAAATCTACTGCTGTGTTTTACTACTAAGTCAAATTGGAAATAAAGTAGAAATTAAATTCTACTTTAGCTGAAAGGCTGCAAAGACTTGAATATGTGGCAATATTTCCCTTTAGTATTCATCAGAATGACTTAAAGGGCTTATTAAGTCAGATTGTTGGCTCCACCCCTCACCCTGAGATTCTTACTTAGCAGGTCTGCAATGGAGCCAAAAATTTGCATCTCTAACAATTTCCCAGGTGATACTGAAGCTGCTGATACAGGAACCACATTTTGTGTTTATTCTCTCAACATAAAATCTCAAGGCTAGTACAGAGGCTCCAGAATGATGACCAGCTTCTTCTAACTTGCTGTTCCATCAACCTAGCTCATGACTTGCATCCTCTAAATCACCTCATGATCCAAGGGAGCTCCTCCAATTCTAGCCATCGTGTTAGCTTCAGGGTAGTAGGAAAGGAGTGAAGGCAAAGGGAACATCTCCCAGCCTCGTCAGCTCCTTTTTAGGAGCCTTATTTGCAAGAACTTAGTCAAAAGGCCTCGTTACAGGGAAAATGGCAAATATACTCTTGCTGAGTACACTGACAGTCCAAATAATAGTAGGGATCTATAACTAAGGAAGACTGGATATTGAATAGGCAACCAAAAAAACTGCCATACCACTTAAGTCTACATATACTCCAATTAAGAAGTCCTACTGATTTTGCCTCCCAATTATTTTGTAAGTTTGTCCTATAGGTTTCATCTCTAATTCTATTTCTCTAGATCTTGCTTTAATCATCTCTCTCCTACTTTATTATAATTGCAATCTAACTAGTCTCCCTACCTACTATCCTGATGATAGGTAGAAGATGGATTTTGAGCGAGCTAAATCTGCTTATAATTCTTCAGTAACTCCACATTTTCTATAAAATAATTAGGTATAAGCATTTTATAATTTCATATGAAGCCCTCATCTACCTATTCCCTGCCTTTTACTTCATACTACTTAACAAACTGTTTCTCTCTTCAGTGCTTTCGTGATGTTTTCTCTGCTATTAAGATACTCTTGTGCCTGTAATCCTTCTACTCGGGAGGCTGAGGTGAAAAGATTGCTTGAGCCCAGGAGTTCAGGGTTACAGTGAGTCATGATTTCACCACTGCACTCAAGCCTGAGTGACAGAGCAAGCCCCTGTCTCTAAAAAGAAAAAAGAAAAAGATACTCCTGCTACTCTCTTTACCATTTCAACTCATCCTCTAAGATTTAACCAAGATACTACCTTCTCCAGAAAGATTTCCTTGACAACCCTCCTTCATAGGAAGAGTACTCCTGTATAATCTCATCAAGTCCAGAGCTGTCACTGGATATTCCACATTGTATTATAATGTTTGTATCTCTGGATTTCTCAATAGATGGTAATCTTCGTAAGTGTAACGACCAGTTTTATCTATCTTTATACTTCCAAAACTGGATACAAAGCAGATGACAACTATTATTTGTTGAATAAAAGCATAAGCCTTCATCTCTAGCTAGCCAATATACTGAAAATCTGAATAGGACTTGTCAAGCAATGTAATATCCTTTCCGATCACAAGTATCACATTCTAATCACTCAATTTCAAAAGATAATTAGAATCAGAATATCCTTCTTTAATAACTGTATATCAATCTGTTCTCATGTTGCTGATAAAGACATATCTGAGACTGGGTAATTTATAAAGGAAAGAGGTTAAAATGGACTCACAGTTCCACATGGCTGGGGAGGCCTCACAATCATGGCAGAAGACAAAGGAAGAGCAAAGGATGTCTTACATGGTGGCAGGCAAGAGGTCTTGTGCAGGGGAACTTCCATTTATAAAACCATCAGCTCTCATGAGACTTATTCACTATCACAAGAACGGTATGGGGGAAACTGTCCCCATGATTCATTGATCTGCACCTGGGCCCACCCTTGACACATGGGGATTATAACAATTCAAGGTGAAATTTGAGTGAGGACACAGCCAAACCATATAATTCCATCCCTGGCCCTTCCCAAATCTCATGTCCTCACATTTCAAAACCAATCATGCCTTCTTGACAGCCCCAAAATCTTAACTCATTTCAGCATTAACTCAAAAGTCCAGAGTCCAAAGTCTCATCTGAGACAAGGCAAGTCCCTCTGCCTATGAGCCTGTAAAATCAAAAACAAGTTAGTTACTTCCTAGATACAATGGGGGTACAGGCATTGGGTAAATACACCTGTTCCAAATGGGAGAAATTGGCCAAAACAAAGGGACTACATGCAAGTTTGAAATCCAGCACCCCATGCAAGTTCGAAAGCCAGCAAGGCTTCAAAATGACCTCCGTTGACTCATATGCAGGTCACACTGATGCAAGAGTCAGGTTCCCATGGCCTTGGGTAGCTCTGCCCCTGTGGCTTTGCAGGGTACAGCACCACCCCCTGCCCCCATCTGCTTTCACAACCTGGTGTTGTCTGCAGCTTTTCCAGGTGCAAAGTGCAAGCTGTCAGTGGATCTACCATTCTGGGGTCTGGAGGACCATGGCCTTCTCCTCACAGTTCCACTAGGCAGTGCCCCAGTATGAACTGTGTGGGTGCTTCAACTCCACATTTTCCTTCCACACTGCCCTAGGAGGGGTTCTCCATGAAGGTCCCACCTCTGCAGAAAACTTCTGCCTGCACATCCAGGTGGTTCCAAAGATCCCCTGAAATGTAGGTGGAGGTTCCCAAACCTCCATTCTTGACTTCTGTGCACCTGCAGGCTCAATGCCACGTGGAAATTGGAAGTTGCTAAGGCTTGGAGCTTGCACCCTCTGAAGCCATGGGCCGAACTGTACCGTGGACCCTTTTAGCCACAGCTGGAGCAGCTGGGATGCAGTGCACCAAGTCTCTAAGCTGCACACAGCATGGGGACCCTGGGCCCAGCCCATGAAACCATTTTTTCCCCCTAGGCCTCTGGGCCTGTGATAGGAGAGCCTGCGGCAAAGGTCTCTGATATGCCCTGGAGACATTTTCCCCATTCACTTAGTGATTAACATTTGGCCCTTCATTACTTATGCAAATTTCTACAGCTGGCTTGAATTTCTCCTCAGAAAATAGATTATTCTCTTCTATAGCATCATCAGGCTGCAAATTTTCTGAACTTTTATGCTCTGCTCTTAAACATAAGTTCCAATTCCAAACCATATCTTTGTGAATACATAAGACCGAATGCTTTTAACAACACCCGGGTCACATCTTGAATGCTTTGCTACTTAGAAATTTCTTCCACCAGATGCCCTAAATCATCTCTCTCAAGTTCAAAGTTGCACAAATCTCTAAGGGAAAAATGCTCCCAGTCTCTTTGCTAAAATATCACAAGAGTCACCTTTATTCCAGTTCCCAAAAAGTTCCTTATCTGCATCTGAGACCACCTCAACCTGGACTTCATTGGCCATATCACTGTCAGCATTTTGGTCAAAGCCATTCAACAAGTCTCTAGGACGTTCCAAACTTTCCCACATCTTCCTATCCTCTTCTGAGCCCTCCAAACTGTTCCAACCTCTGCCTGTTACCCAGTTCCAAAGTCACTTCCACATTTCTTGGTACCTTTACAGCAGCACCCCACTCATTACACCAACTTACTTTATTAGTCTGTTCTCATGCTGCTAACAGACATACGTGAGACTGGATAATTTATCAAGGGAAAAGGTTTAATGGACTCACATTGCTCACATGGCTGGGGAGGCCTCACAAATGTGGCGGAAGGTGAAGGAAGAGTAATGGCATGTCTTACACGGTAGCAGGCAAAAAGGTTGTGTAGGGCAACTCCCCTTTATAAAACCATCAGATCTCAGGAGACTTGCTCACTACCATGAGAACAGTATGGGAAAAACCTGCCCCCATGATTCAATTACCTCCCACCAGGTCCCTCTCACAACATGTGGGGATTATGGGAACTACAATTCAAAATGAAATTTTGGTGGGGACACAGCCAAACCATATCAAACTCCAACTACAGTTCAAAGCATAAAAACTATTTTGTGCATAGCCAAACATCTTTATTTTTCACAACCTGAATACTAAAGATACAACCCAACTAGTCCCAGAACATTTCTAGATATTTCTGTGTATTAACCAAACTAAACAAATTTTTAAAAAGAACATCTGCAACAATAACAGAATAATAATTTAACAATCAAAGTTGGCTTCACCATTTCTTGTCTTCTCCATATATTTATCCAAGTTCTCCATCTTTATTTCTTCTTCCTTTTTATATGGGGTGTATTCAGTATCTTTTTCTGGGTTTGGAACTGATTTCTCCTTTGGTATCAAGAAACATTCAGCATTTAAAACTTGTTCAGCAGTCATTGAACTTCTATAATATATCAAGCTACAGAGGAGGGATTTGACTTTATCATCCTGTAAGGAAAAACAGGTGTTACAAAACAAAGGAACAAAAGGACAAATCTGTAATGAAGAAGGACAATTCACAAATACTCTTGGTCAGTGATACAGGGCAAAAATCAAGTTTTTCTATTTAGATTTTTAAAGATTCTTACCAAGTTCAACTATAGTTGACCCTTAAACAACACAAGTTTGAACTGCATGGGTAGGTCCACTAATAAGTGGATTTATTTTTTCAATAAATGTAGTCAGGAAGGAGGTGCTTCAAGATGACTCATGAGGTATGTGGTACTCCCCTCAACAAAAAAACACCAAAATAATGAGCTGATAATCACACTTTAAATAGATCATCTGGCTGGGCACAGTGGCTTATGCCTGTAATCTCAGCACTTTGGGAGGCCATGGTGGGGGGAATCACCTAAGGTCAGGAGTTCAAGACTAGCCTGGCCAACATGGTGAAACCTCGTCTCTACTAAGAGAGTTGTATACTTGGAAGTGAAAGAACAATATCTACCATTACAAAACACATATAAACTCCACTGGTAAAACAAACACACAAATAAAGAAGAGAAAGAATTCAAGTGTTACCACTACAAAAACCACGAAACCACAATGAATAAGAGAGAAAGTAAGAAATAAAAGATACACAAAACAACCAGAATCAATTAATACAATGACAGAAATTAACCCTCATGCATGTATCAATAACAGCCTTGAATGTAAACCAGTTAAACTTTCCACCTGAAAGATATAGACTGGTTGAAAGGATTTTTTTTAATGACCCAATCATATGCTGCCAAAAGATGTTCCATACAAAAGGAAACCAAAAGCAAGCAAGTGTAGCTATACTTGTATCAGGTAAGACAGATTTTAAGTCAAAAAAAGCAAAAAGTGACAAAGAAGGTCATTATATAATAATAAAGAGATCAATTCAGCAAGAGAATATAACAATTCTAAACATACACATGGATCCAACAACAGAGCACCCAGATACATAAATCAAATATTATTAGATCTAAAGGGAGAAACAGACTCCACCCAACTCTCACCACTAGACAGATCATCTAGAGAGAAAATTAATTTTTAAAAAAACTGATTTTACACTGCACTTAAAAACCAAATTAACCTAACAGATATTTACAGAATACTTTACCCAACAGCAACAGAATACACATACTTCTCATGAGCATATGGAACATTCTCTAGGAATAGACCATATCTTAAGCCACAAAACAAAGCTCAAAAAATGTTTTAAAATTAAAATCATATCCAGTTTCATCTCAGACCACAATGGAAAACTAAAAATCAACAAGAGAAACTGAAAACTATACAAATGCACGGAAATTGGCCAGGCACAGTGGCTCACACCTGTAATCCCAAAACTTTGGGAGGTGGAGGTGGGTGGATCACTTAAGGTCAGGAGTTTGAGACCAGCCTGGCCAACATGGTAAAATCTCATCTCTACTAAAAATACAAACATTAGATGAGTGTGGTGGCAGACACCTGTAATTTCAGCTACTCAGGAGGCTGAGGCAGGAGAACTGCTTGTACCCAGGAGGCAGAGGTTGCAGTGAAGTGAGATCATGCCACTGCATTCCAGCCTGGGCAATAGAGTGAGACCCCCATCTCAAAAATAAATAACAACAACAACAATGACAACAACAAAAACACATGGAAATTACACAACATGCTGCTGAATGACCACTGGTTCAAGGAAGAAATTAAAGAGGGAATTAGAAAATGTCTTGGAACAATCACTGGTTCAAGGAAGAAATTAAAGAGGGAATAAGAAAATATCTTAGAACAACTGAAAATCAAAACAACATAACAAAACCGATGAGATACAGCAAAAGCAGTGTGAAAAGAAAACTTTATAGCAATAAATTCTTGTATCAAAAAAGGAGTAAGATTTCAAATAAACCACCTAATACACATTAGTAGAAAAGAAAGAATAAAGAAGAAAGCAGAACTAAGTGAAATAAAGTCACAGCTAATATCATTACTAAATAGAGAAAAGAAAAACATTCCTCTAGCGAAGCGCAGTGGCTCACACCTGTAATCCCAGCACTTTGGGAGGCCGAGGTGGGCAGATTACCTGAGGTCAGGAGTTCGAGATCGGCCTGACCAACATGGTGAAACCTCATCTCTACTAAAAAATACAAAAAAAAAAAAAAGGCCGGGCATCATGGTGGGTGCCTGTAATCCCAGCTACTTGGGAGGCTGAGGCACGAGAATTGCTTGAACCCAGGAGGCGGAGGTTGCAGTGAGCCAAGACCGTGCCACTGCACTCCAGCTGGGCAACAAGAATGAAACTCCATCTCAAAAAAATGAAAAACAAAAAACAAAAAAAGAAAAAGAAAGAAAAAGAAAAACATTCCTCTAAAGAGCTGGAACAGGACAAGGATCTCCACTTTCACCACTCCTCTTCAACACAGTCCTGGAAGTTCTAGTCAGAGCAACCAGACAAGAAAAATAAAAGGAATACAAATTGAAAAAGAGCAAGTCAAATTGTCCCTCTTTGCAGATGACGCTATCTTAGCTATCTACAAAAACCTAAAGACTCCACCAAAAAGCTCTTAGATCTGATTAATCTAGTAAATCTGCAGGATATAGAATCAACATGTAAAAATCGGTAGCATTTCTATAAACCAATAAGGAACTAGCTAAGAAGGACATCAAGAAAGTAATCCCATTTACAGTAGCTATAAAATAAATATATTACCTAGGAAGAAATTTAAACAGGGATGTGGAAGAGCTCTCCAAACAAAACTACAAAACGCCGATGAAAGAAACTGAAGAGGACGCTAACAAATGGAAAGACATTCCATGCTCTTGGATCAGAAGAATTGGTATTGTTAAAATGCCCATACTACCCAAAGAAATCTACAGATTCAAAGCAATCCCTATCAAAATAGCAATGTAATTTTTCACATAAATAGAAAAAAATCCTAAATTTCATGTAGAACTAAAAAAGAGCACAAATAGTCAAAACAATTATCAGCAAAAAGAACAAAGTTGAAGGCATCACACTGACTTCAAAATATCTTTCAATCCCAACACAGCATTTTATTAGTATAGAAAAAGATACATGCACCTATAGAATAGAATTGAAAACCCAGAAATAAAGCCACATATTTACAGCCAACCAATTTCTCACAAAGGCACCAAGAACATACACTGGGGAAAAGACACCCACTTCAATAAATGGTGCTGGGAAATTGGATATCCATATGCAAAAGAATAACAGTGGACCCCCACCACCATATACAAAAATCAATTCAAGATTGATTAAAGCCTTAAATGTAAAACCCAAGACTATAAAAGTACTAGAAGAAAACATACGGGAAACACTTCATGACACTGGTCTAGGCAGATTTTTATGGCTAAGACCTCGAAAGCACAGGCAACAAAAACAAAGACAGACAAATGGGACTATACTTAACTAAAATGCTTCTGGACAGCAAAGGAAATAATCAACAGAGTGAAGAAACAATTTGTTGAATGGAAGGAAATATTTGCAAACTATTCATCCAACACAGGACTAATATCCAGAATATACAAGAAACTCAGCAAGGAAAACAATCCCATTTAAAAGTAGGCAAAGGACATAAACAGACATTTCTCAAAAGCAAGCACACAAATGACCAACAAGTATATGAAAAATGCTCAATATCACTAATCATCAGAGAAATGCAAATCAAAACCACAATGAGGTATCATTTTACATCAGCTAGAATGCCACTATTTTAAAAAATGACAAAAAATACCAAAATACTATTTTGAAAAATCTCCACAAAGATGTGGAGAACAGGAAACTGTTATATATTGTTAGTGGAAATGTAAATTAGTATAGCCACTATGGAAAATAGTATAAATATTTTTCAAAAAACTAAAAATGGAACTATCATACAATCCAGTAATCCCACTACTTAATAGTTATCAAAATAAAAAGGAAATCAGTATATGAAACCTGCACCTCAATGTTTATTGCAGCACTATTCACAATTACAAAGGTAAGGACTTAAACCTAAGTGTCCATCAATGGACAAATGGATAAAGACAATCTGGTACACTATTAAAGAAATATAAAGAAAATGTGGAATACTATTCAACCATAAAAAAGGAATTAAATTCTGTCATTTTCAGCAAGAAGGATGGAACAATCATTTTGTAAAGTGAACTAAGCCAGGCACAGAAAGACAAATATCAAATATTGTCACTCATACGTCGGAGCTATAAAAGTTGATCTCATAAGGTAGAGTTGAATGACTAATACCAGAGACTAAGAGAATGTGGGTGACGTGGAAGGGGATGAAGAGAGTTGTTTAATGGGTACAAACAACCAGGTTGATAGAAGAAATAAATACTAGTGATTGATAGCAGAGTAGGGTGACTCCATTTAACTATGTATTAAATATTTCAAAATAGGCAGAAGAGAGGACTTGATATGTTCCCAAAACATAGAAATAATAAATAATCAAGATAATGGATATCCTAAATACAGACTTTGTCATTAACACATTCCATACAAGTTACAAAATATCACATATACCCCATAAATATGTACAAATATTATGTATCAATATGAAATAAATAAGTACAGTCAGCCCTCCCTATCTGCAGTTTCCATATCTGCAAGCAAACAGATCAAAAACACAGTATTCTCAGGACTCAACACCCACAGATACAAAGGGCTGATTTTTCATATGCATAGGTTCCACTGGGCTAACTGCAGGACATGGGTATGGGTGGATTTTATCTGTACCAAACCCCTGTGTATACAGAGGGATGACTGTACTTTTTTAGTAAAATGGAATGCCTCCAGTACTGAAACAATGGAATTGAATTATGGCGAAAAAATGTAAAAGGAAAAAAATCATAGCTGAAATCTCTCAAAAACAAGTGAAATGAGAACAAATAAATTTTATTACTTCCTTTCTTCCTCTTTTAACAGGGTACTGGTCAGAATTTGACACTATTAAAATGTCACACAGAAGCTTCTCTGTCTGGAAGGGTAAACTTCTTCATCTAGTCAGCTGTTTCTGGTTTTGGTTTTTAAGTGATCACCCTCTAGGATCACCTCTACTGCCGCTATCATTATCACCATCATTATGGGAGCCCGAATTTATTATATCCCTCTATTTCAAAGGACATTATTTGTATTAGAACATGTAAATAATCCTGTAATGTTGCTGTTCCATTATTTCCACCTGCAAAGACATCTTGGTATACCTTTTATTTGCCTCTTATGATTACTCCAACCAAAGCACATATCACATTGAATAAAAATAATCTGTTTACTGCTGGCCAGGCAGGCACTTTGGGAGGCCAAGATGGGTGGATCATTGAGGCCAGGAGTTTAAGACCAGCCTGGTCAACATGGCAAAACTCTGTCTCTACCAAAAATACAAAAATTAGCTGGGCATGGTGGCAGATGCCAGTAATCCCAGCTACTCAGGAGGCTGAGGCAGGAGAACTACTTGAACCTGGGAGGCAGAGGCTCCAGTGGCTGAGATCATGCCCCTGCATTCCAGCCTCGGCAACTGAGCAAGACTGCCTCAAAAAAAAAAAAAAAAAAAAAAAAATCATCTGTTTACTGCTAGTGTCTGCATTACACTCTAAGATCCTTAAGGTTTGAAATTTTAGTTTGTCACTTCATCTCCAGAAAGTAGCACAGTATCTGAATATAGCAGACATTCAGTAAATATTTGATAAATGAATGAATGCCAACATCCGTACTCTACAGAGTATGTTTTTAAGAACATTTAAAGATAGTTATCTTCCCTAGGTGCAAACAATTAAATATTACAAAATCCAAATGAGGAAAATAACACATGCTCCTGAAAACCGCAAAAGTAGATCAGGAACAAAAGTCTTATTATGGTCTTCAACAAAAATGAGTCTCATAACAAATGGGTCAATTTTCCCTAAGTTAACTTAAAAAGTTTACATTATTCCAATAAAAATATAAATTTTTTCCTTGAGACCAAACAAGTTAAATTATAAAGATGTTTTAGAAGAATGACAACCAAGAATAGCCATGAAAGCTGATTTAAAAAATAGCAATGAGGGCCGGGTGCAGTGGCTCACACTTGTAATCCCAGAACTTTGGGAGGTTGAGGCAGGTGGATCACTTGAGGTCAAGAGTTTGAGATAGGCCTGGCCAAAATGACGAAACTCCATCTCTACTAAAAATACAAAAATTAGCCAGGCGTGGTGGCATATGACTGTAGTACCAGCTACTTGGGAGGCTGAGGCACGAGAATCACTTGAACCTGGGAGGCAGAGGCTGCAGTGAGCTGAAATTGTGCCACTGCACTCCATCCTGGGACTTCAGACTTTGTTTTTTAAACAAAACAAAACAAAAAAGCAGTGAAGAAGGAACAAGCCCTGTAAGTATTAAAAAGATACTATAAAGCCTATTTTAGTTAAATGAGTGCAGCACTGGAACATGAATAAACCACCCAATGGAATAGAAAAACTAAAAATATACCCCTGTACAAATAAAATTTTCTGCCTGAACACACTGACCAATCTTACTGTGACAATCAAACACCACGATCCCCCTCATATGACACTCACATGTGCAAAGTATCATGCATAAAATATACTGCCTGTAAAAACTGAATGTAAATTTAATTAACCTCTGTATCTACCACTTTTTTCAATTGGGGAAAAGAGAACTATGAAATAATACCATAAGGATGCAATCAGCCAGCTCCAAAGTATGGAAAATGAAATTTTTTTTTTCACACAATACATGGCATGGAGAAAAAGAGTTCTGGGGGAACTTTATAGCTCAAGAGAGATTAAGAGATATATTAACCCAATACAGGTAGATTTTGTTGACATACTAATTTGAAAAAAGCAACCATGTAAAAATATATTTAAGACAATTAGGGAAATTTAAATACAATATTACAATTTGTTAATTTTATACGGTGTGATAACTGCATAACATATGTTGTAAACTAAACCTAAAGCAAGCAGAAGGACAGAAATAATAAAGATTAGAAAGTAAGAAAATAGACAACAGAAAAACAAGAGAGAAAAATCAATAAAACCAAAAGCTAGGTATTTAAAAAAAATGTACAAACTGGATAAAACTTACTTGAACTAACCAAGAAAAAAAGAGAGAAGACTGAAACTGCTACAATCTGAAATGAAAAATGGGACACTACTGAACTCAGAGAAATAAAAAGAATTATAAAGAAAATATGTACAACTGTATGCCAACAAGCTAGATAACTTAAATGGAATAGACCAACTTTTAGACACAAACTACCAAAATCGGCATTACTGTACTTCAGCAGAGGCTGAGGGCCATCTGTTGGGGGTATTACTGGAAGGATTCTGAAGGATGGGAATGGTGTATTAATTATCCTCTAATAACTCTCTCAACTACATGGTTCCATGAATTTATATTCTCCTCCATTTGTGGTATGGTATCTGTAATGTGCTGACTACAGAGCCTTGACTTGTTTTGCAGCTATGTGTGATCACAAAATGTAGATAAAGGTAATCCCATTCCCAGCACTAATAACTGACTCAGATCACAGAAGCAGATACTATACAAGTCAAGATTCTTATAATTTGAACTTGCTTATTACTCAATTTATAAATCTTGCTTGTTCAAATTTCTAAATTATTAATTTCATTTTAAATGCCACAATCCTTGAATCCATGAGTAGCTACCCACATTAAACAGGGACTGTGTATTTACATTCTCTTTTATTATACAATTATACATATACCTAGCACCATGCCTAGCAAGGCATGATTACTTGCAGATTATTATTATTTTTATTTATTTTTTATTTTTTTGAGACAAAGTCTCATTCTGTCACCCAGGCTGAAATGCAGTGGCACAATCTCAGCTCACTGCAATCTCTGCCTCCCAGGTTCAAGTCATTCTCCTGCCTCAGATTCCCAAGTAGCTGGGACTACAGGCACCTGCCACCACGCCCAGCTAATTTTTTTGTATTTTTAGTACAGACAGGGTTTTACCATGTTGGGCAGGCTGGTCCTGAACTTCTGACCTCAGTTGATCTGCCCACCTCAGCCTCCCAAAATGCTGGGATTACAGGTGTGAGCCACCACACCCAGCCAGATTACATCTTAGAGTAGGCAGACTTCTAAGATTGCCCCAGGACCCCAATCTTCTGTTATTCATAACTTTACATAATTCTTTCCTCTTGGACCTACAGAATTGCTTCTAACAGAGAGAATACTATCAAAAACTATGGGATATCACTTTTACGATTTTGTTATAAAAAACTGTCACTTCTGTCTTAGTGAACAGAGTCCACTGCCTTCTCTGCATATACATTTCAATGAAACATGCTGCCATGATGGAAACAGGGCAAAGGATTGAGGGCAACCTCTGGCCAACAACTAGAGAAGAACTGAGGTCCTCATTCTAACAAACTGAAAGAAACAGAATCCTATGAACAAACATGTGAGGTTAGAGGCATAGCCATCTCCAGTCAAGCTTTAAGATGACTATAGCCCAGCCAACATCTTAACTGCAACCTTAAATTCACTGAAGCAGAAATCCCAAATAAGCTGTGTCCAGATTCCTGACTCACAAAACTGTAACATAAGTTTTAAGTTTGAGCTAAATTTCAGGATAACTTGGTACAAGGTAATTTTTCTATCAAACCTGAAAGAGCAAGGGTTCTAGATGTGCACTTTTGGTGAATCTGTAACCTCTAATGCAGCATTTCTGGTATTTTTCTATCTAATAGCAAGAAATCTTTATCATAGCCTTTTCAAAACTGTAAACCATAGTCAACCTTCTTTGTTATCCCCTTCCACAGAGATAATCAGGAAGTATAACACAAAGTTTTATAATCCCACAAAAGTTGTCTGGAATGCTTTTTACTACTACCCAAGAAGTGTGGCAAAGCTCCTTAATATCACTTCTAAGATGTGTTTTTTTAAAATGACTTCATGGGACACTAGAAGGTATTGTACAATATTTCTGTAGTCAAATAAGTTAAGGAACTACTGAATTTAACAAAATTGTATGTATTCTTTCATTGTAATCCTAACTCAAAATAGCATAAGAACTTCCAGAGCCTGATCATTATACTCTTATATACTCATCTTCTGTCATATTTATCCTCTTTATATCTAGTCATACTGAATTGCCCCTTTCTTTGCAGAATTAAAATTCAGCTTCCCCCAAAGTACTTTTTTTAGGGGCTTCATTTTTTTTTAATCTTTATGGGTACACTATGAAGTACATGAGATATTTTAATACAAGCATATAATGTGTAAAAATCAAATCAGGGTAAATGGAGTACCCCCAAAGTACTTGCTAATTACTCAACTTATAGATGTTAATTATTTACTTGTTCACATTTCTAAATTATTAATTTCATTCTCAACGCCACAATCCTTGTAATCCTAGGACCTGGTTCAATTCCTGTCACAGAAATAGCTACTCAAAATATGCTGGCTGAATACATATGTGAATGACAAAGATATAGTTAGGTACTTATTAAAAACTAAGTTATAATAAAACATTTAATTTTACTCTAATATGATCTTGAAACACACAGTAAATAATATTCTGCCCTAATTGTTAGATTATTTATATAATCTGTGTGACAAACATACAACCCAGCAGAGTAACACTGGTGTAGTAATTAAGTGGTATAAGTAGGGCACCTGAATTTTTTCCAATACTTCATTTATTGCAAATGTTAATTTGGATTTTCAGAAAAACTGGAGGACACTTTCAGTCAGATATCTAAGTTTATATTACTGCATGTGTTTCAAACCAGTAAATGTCAAAAAGGTCACATACCAAATGAAACTGATCCACTTTCGGGATTCCATCTTTACTTATCTCAAACTCCTGATTTTGAACAGAAAGCTGTGAAAGAAAGAATGAATAAATGTCCAATGTATTAATATACTGATCTATAGAAGAGTTAACTCTGGAACTTCAGATCCTGGTGACTAGAAAAGAGTTCACTTAAAGAAAGCACATTAACTCTCTTACAGGTAAAAGCACTTTCATTGTAACTACCTGTTCACAAGCAACCAAATGGTTCCTGGGGCTCCTAAAGTACCGATCAGAGGTGATGTACACACTATGAACACTTTAATATTTCTTCACCTTATAAGAAAATGTGTTAAAGCTTGGTAGCCTATATATCATGTTAGCCTCACTAATACTCAAAAATTAGGTACAAAGAAAATAAATCAGGCAAGTTTCTTTCTACCATAATATCTAACCTGTGTTCGAGAAATATAAGCTAAACTTAAAAAAAAAGCTTCAGAGATAAGGGGGATGCAAGAAATAAATTAATTAAATTTAACTTAAAAACATGGAGAATTTTTCACATACACAAAGGTACTCTGAGTCCCACATATTCATCCCCTAGCCCTAACAACCATCAGCCAATGACTACTCTTACCCTATGAACAAATCCATATATATTATCTTTGAGGCAAATCCTATGCATGTCATAATTTCACCTATAAACATGTTAGTACATATCTCTAAGAGACAATCTTATTTTTACACAATCATATCATAAGAAAAATACTTTTATACAAAATACCTAGCTTTCAAAATTTGAGTAATCTCATATCAAATTAGTTTACCTTTTTAGTTTATTTAAATCCAAATCCAAATAAGTTCCACCCACTGCAATTAAAAAATGAGCAGAAGGGCTTTTGGTCTCTTCCTGTTCCTCTCCATTAATTACAATTATAAAACCTGAAAATACCAGAAAATATAACCAAAGGAAAACATTGAAAGGTTTAAAAAAGGAAGAAAAACTAGTTGAAGACCCCAGGATTAGAGGAACAACATAGTAACAGGTTGTCTTATAACCCTCCCAACTGAAAAAAAAAAAAAAAAGTGATCCAGATCTGATGTTTCCCAACTCCTAAGCCTGCAACAGAAAGCAGCCCAGGTAGATTCATTCCTCTCTTGAACTTAATAGGATTGCCATCAACACCACCAGGTGAGGCCAGGAGAAACAGCAAGAAGGTTCAACTGCAAACCTCACTGTCAGTAAGCAGCCAGGGGAAGCATTCACCATCCTCAGCAGCAGCACCACCTGAGATACCAACGAGGCCACAGGCACCAACAAAGGGAAACCACACCACAAGCAGCTGGTCCAGTAAATACACTCTGATGCCCATAAGTAGGGGGATCCCACCATAACAAGGGATGGTTCTGGAGGTATTCTGCATCTGTCATAGGAAAGGAGAGATCCTGCCACAACTAGCACCCAGCTCAAGAAGCTTCATCCCATAGACCAGAGTCTCCATTCCCATATTTAGAAGCACTAGGCAGCTCAGTCTTGAAAACTCCCTTTCATTCTTTCAAATACCATCAGCAGGGACCACGGGAGGCCCAACAGTATGCAACAACTCAAGCAGATCAAAATATAACTGAAAAGTTTCTGAAAATTAGATTGTCATTAAAACCACAGTTCAAAAAGTAGTGCAGGACCTCTGTTTAAACCTAAACAAGGTGACTGCCTGCTAAAATAAAATTTTCAGGAGGACTCAGAATCTACTAAAATAATATCCAAAATGTCCAGGATAAAATTAAAAATCATTTGTTATACAAAGTACCAGGAAAACCACAACTTCAGTGAGAAACTGCAATCAACACCAAGATGAATCACATAATTACCTGACAAGAACTTTGAAGCAGTGGTCATAAAATGCTTCAACAAGCAATTATAATTTCTCTAAGGTAAATAAAAAGAAATCTCAGCAAAGAAAAAAATTATTTAAAAGAATCACATGAAAGTTAGGGAACTACAAAGTACAATAACCAAAATCTTAAAACTGGATGGAATAAATTGAAAAGTACAGAGATGACAGAAGAACAGAAGACAAAATCAGTGAACTTCAGAATAGTTCAACACAATTTACTCAACCTGATCAGAGAGAAAACAGGCTAAAAACAAAAAGGAACATTTCCATTTATTTGTATCCTCTCTTATTTCCTTGAGCAGTGGTTTGTAGTTCTTCTTGAAGAGGTCCTTCACATCCCTTGTTAGCTGTATTCCTAGGCATTTTATTCTCTTTGTAGCAATTGTGAATGGGATAAGCAATTGTGAATGGGAGTTCCCTCATGATCTGGCTCTTTATTATTGGTGTATAGGAATGCTTGTGAGTTCTGCACGTTGATTTTGTATGCTGAGACTTTGCTGAAGTTGCTTATCAGCTAAAGTAGATTTTATGCTGAAATGATAGTTTTCTAAATATACATTCATGTCATCTGCACACAGACTTTGACTTCCTCTCTTCCTATTTGAATACACTTTATTTCTTTCCCTTGCTTGATTCCCCTGACCAGAACTTCCAATACTATGTTAAATAGGAGTATGAAAGAGAGCATCCTTGTCTTGTGCCAGTTTTCAAAGGGAATGCTTCCAGTTTTTGCCCATTCAGTATATTGACTGTCGGTTTGTCATAAATAGCTCTTAATATTTTGAGATACTTTCCATCAATAACTAGTTTATTGAGAGTTTTTAGCATGAATGGGTGTTGAATTTTATCAAAGACTTTTTCTGCATCTATTGAGATAATCATGTGGTTTTTGTCACTGATTCTGTTTATGTGATGCATTATGTTTACTGATTCATTTATGTTGAACCAACCTTGCATCCCAGGGATGAAGCCAACTTGATCATGGTGGAAGCTTTTTGATGTCCTGCTGAATTCGGTTTGCCAGTATTTTATTGAGAATTTTTGTATCAATGTTCATCAGATTAGCCTGAAACTTCCCTTTTTTGTAGTGTCTCTGCCAGGTTTTGGTACCAGGATGATGCCAGCCTCATAAAATAAGTTAGGGAGGAGTCCCTCTGGAATAGTTTCAGAAAGAATGGTAATAGTACTAGCTCCTCTTTGTACATCTGGTAGAATGTGCCTGTGTATCTGTCTGGTCCTGGACTGTTTTTGGTTGGTAGGCTATTAATTACTGCCTCAATTTCAGAACACATTATTGGTCTATTTGGAGATTCGAATTCTTATTTAGTCTTGGGAGGGTGTACGTGTCCAGGAATTTTTCCATTTCTTCTAGATTTTCTAGTTTATTTGCATAGAGGTGTTTATTGTATTCTCTGATGGTAGCTTGGATTTCTGTGGGATCAGTGGTGATATCCCCTTTATCATTTTTTATTGTGTCTATTTGATTCTTCTCTCTTTTCTTCATTAGTCTGGCTAGTGGTCTACCTATTTTGTCAATCTTTTCAAAAAACCAGCTCCTGGATTCATTGATTTTTTAAAGGGTTTTTCATGTCTCTTATCTCCTGCAGTTCTGCCCTGATCTTAGTTATTTCTTGTCTTCTGCTAGCTTTTGAATTTGTTTGCTGTAGCTTCTGTAGCTCTTTTAATTGTGATGTTAGGGTGTCGATTTTAGATCTTTCCCACTTTCTCCTGCAGGCATTTAGTGCTATAAATTTCCCTCTAAATACTGCTTTAGCTGTGTCCCAGGGATTCTGGTACCTTGTGTCTTTGTTCTTACTAGTTTCAAAGAATTTATTTGTTTCTGCCTTCATTTCGTTATGTACCCAGTAGTCATTCAGGAGCAGGTTGTTCAGTTTCCATGTAGTTGTGTGATTTTGAGTGAGTTTCTTAATCCTGAGTTCTAATTTGACTGCACTGTGGTCTGAGAGACTGTTGAGATTTCCATTCTTTTGCATTTGCTGAGGAGTGTTTTATTTCCAATAATGTGGCCAATTTTAGAATAAGTGTGACGTGGTGCCGAAAACAATGTATATGCTGTTGACTTAGGGTGGAGAGTTCTGTAGGTGTCTATTATGTACACTTGGTCCAGAGCTGAGGTCAAGTTCTGAATATCCTTGTTAATTTTCTGTCTCGTTGATCTGTCTAATATTGACAGTAGGCTGTTAAAATCTCCCACTGTTATTGTGTGGGAGTCTAAGTCTCTTTGTAGGTCTCTAAGAATTTGTTTTATGAATCTTGGTACTCCTGTATTGGGTGCAAATATATTTAGGATAGTTAGCTCTTCTTGTTGCATTGATCCCTTTTCCATTATGTAATGCCCTTCTTTGACTTTTTTGGTCTTTGTTGGTTAAAATTCTGTTTTATCAGAGACTAGGGTTGCAACCCCTGCTTTTTTTTGTTTTCCATTGTCTTAGTAAATATTCTTACATCTCTTTATTTTGAGCCTATGTATGTCTTTGTATGTGAGATTGTTCTCCTAAATACAGCACACCTATGGGTCTTGATTCTTTATCCAATTTGCCAGTCTGTGTCTTTTAATTGGGGCATTTAGCCCAGTTACATTTAAGGTTCATATTGTTATGTGTGAGACTTTCTTAAAAGCACAAAACACGGCAATAAAAGATCAGTGGTTGCCAGCGTTTAAGGATTGGGAGAAGGTTGTGACTACAAAGGGATGGCACACAGGAATTTTCTGGGTTATGGAACTGTTCTGCATCCTGACTGTGGTGGTGGTGGTTACACTAATCTACAGGTGTGTTAAAATTCATAGAATGTATACCAAAAAAAGTCCATTGTACAGGTTAATTTAAAAATAAAGTTTTTAAAAGACCTTAATCAACAATATGTAAGAGTAGAAAATCAGACAATATATTTACTCACGGAGCTCTTTACTGTCATTTTAAAAGGAAATAGGTGGAATAAAAACTGCTATTACCACACTTATGGGATATCTTATGAGTCCTCCCAGAAACAAAAAAAATACTTGATACGTTTACTTTCACCCTTCTGATATAAAGAATAAACAGATTACTGAAGCACTGATGAAAATCATGCCAGTTTATTTCCATGAGGGTGCTGGTTCTATGAAACCAGACAACTTTAAATATACATGCAGGTATAGGGCTAAAGTCATAAGAATAGTATGGGGGAACC